ACCTCCCACCTCACTCCCACTCAGGGGGCAATGTCTGGAGACATTTTGGGTTGTCACACTAGGGACAGAGATTGCTACTGGAATGTAGTGCATAGAGGCCAGGGAGACCTCCAAACATGCTATAATGCGCAATCTCCCTGTTATGGACTCAATGTTATATTCCTCAAAATTCATAGGCTGAAGTCCTAAGTCCCGATATGACTGTATTTGGAGACAGGGCCTGTGAGGAGGTGATGAAATAGAGTGAGGCCCTAATCTGCGAGGACTGACTGCTGCCTTTTAAGATGAGGAGACACCAGAGCTCTCTCCTGCCCTGCCGTGTGAAGACACATCGAAAGGCAGCTGTCTGCAAGCCAGGAATAGAACTCTCATCAAGAATCAAATCAGCCAGCACCTTTTTCTTCGACTTCCAGCCTCCAGAACTGTGAGAAATAGATTTCTGTTGTCCAGTCTGTGTGTTTTTTATAGCAGCTCAAGCTGACTAATATATCTCCACAGCAAATAATTATCCATCCCAAAATGTCAATGATGCCAAGGTAAGGAGTATTCCACATCATTTACTAGAGGTTTTCCCTAGGAGTTTGATATTTGGCGAGGTGGAGGGAGAGGGGCGGAGCTATTGTAGATAATAAACATCAAAACACCTTTACTGCACTCATCACTTAAGAAATTCTGAGGGTTTTAGGAGATCTGTGCCAGAAATGGGGGTGAAGACCAAATAGATATTTCTTATTATAAATCACAATATCACAGTCATCCAACAATAACCTTGGACAACTTTTTTACCATTTCTAAACCTTCATTAACTCATTTGTGAAGTAACAGTACCATCTCATTGGAAAGATTAGTCTGTTCCAATAGCTTAGCATAGTGTAGGAGTCACGAAGATACAATGTTCAAGGCCCCTTCAAGGATTTATTGCCCAGCTGTAGGGAGCCATCCTAGCTGAGGTCACCCCCTTTCTAGGGGTATCTGACTACTGAGGGAGAAGGCTCGGGATGGATAAAGGCCTGGCCATTTCTGCCTGACATGAGACGCTAATGAAAAATACTCACACTAGAATTCCCCACCAGGGTGACCAAGAGTTTGAGGGGCCTGCATCGCAGATTGACTTCTTCCTCTCCCCGGTCCTGCATCTTCCCCTTTCCCTTCACAGGTGGTAATCCCTGATACCCCAAACTCTGTCTCCAGGTCTACTCCTGGACAACGCAATGATAGTGTCTGGCAGACAGTAAGTAACATTGTTACCCAATAAATGATAGCTATTGTTCATTTTTGTGTTCTGTCATTGCATTAAAATAGGAGCCAGAATCCAAGATTGGGCATTTTGTTCCTGACCCACCGAACCCCTGCTCTGCAAATGCTTAGTGCTGTACTAATCCTTCATTGTGCTAGTATCTTGACATTACCCTTTGTTATGGTCTGAATGTGTCTCCTCAAAATTCATACATTGAAAACCTAACCCTCAATATAATGGTATTAGAAGGTGGCGCCTTTGAGGGGTAATCAGGCTGTAAGGGTGTAGCCCTCGTGAATAGATTAGTGCCCTTATAAAAGAGGCTCCAGACAACTCCCTTGCCCTCTTTCCACCAAATGAGGATACAAGAAGGGGGCCCCCTGCAGCCCAGAAGAGGACCAGCCCTCTCCAGGACGGGACCATGCGGGCACTCTGATCTTGGACTTCCAGCCTCCAGAACAGTGAGAAATAAATTTCTGTTGTTTCAGGCCACCTAGTCTATGTTTTTTTTTTTTTTTTGTAGCAGCCCAAACTAAGACACTTTTCCTCTGACTTTAAATTCCTGGAGGGCAGGGGCCCTCTCTCAAACTCCCTTCTTTCTTCCACTGATTTGTTAGCTCACACAGAACAGGCACGCCTCTTAGATTTGTTAATTTTTAAGTTTCCTGGGTTGGGAACTCCAGCGTATTTTGAATATCTGAATTCACTTACAACATGTATAATCTAAATACGTCTCTATTAACCTGGGCTAACCCATTATGTGATATCCCAGTAAGACAGCCTACATTCATTATACCACTCAGGGGGCTAGAACCCCACTAGCTGAGGTACGACCCCCGCTGCAGTTCATGACTTGCTTTGGGGTACTGTCACTTCATCACACCATTAGTTACTCACGAGAGTCCAAAATATGGCTCTTTCAGGAAGTGCTGTGTGGTCCACAGCTGCATTTTCCCCCCTGCACAATTGATGTGTTTGCTCCAAAATACAAGTCAAAAAAGTTACCTTCACGGTGCATATCAGCAAAGGAACGGTGTGAAGACTGTCCTTGGTTTCCCTAAAAATTGGAAACTGGTCAGCTAGTCAAGAGGCAAGTTTTGATCCATAGTCTGCGTAACTGCAGCCCTGACAGTCAGAAAAAGCTATCTGCGAACTCAGATCAGTGACATACACCGACCACTCATCGACCACCTGCCACCAACCACCACCAACCACAGGAAGTCATTTTGGTGTTATATGGGTTTTGAGAGTCTGTGTTAAGAGAGGCCTGGGGTAACAGATTACCAAACCGGAAATCAACAAATCTAAGTTCTGTTTCACACTCTGTGACCTTGGGCAAGTCACCTAGGCTTCAGTGTCCTCAACTGCAAAATGGAGGCCTTGCCTGCACCTGCTGAGGCTCCCTCCAGCTCTCATGTTTAGGGTCTACGACCGTGTGTTGTCTGTGTGCAGGAGGAGATAAGAAATCACGCTCTCCCCGGAGTAGCTGCAACTGGAGTAAGAATGAGATGTTGGTGGGGGAAACAGTGAAATACTTCAAAAGAAAAAGAGTTGCCGAGCTCACCAAGCTTTGTTTGGATTCCCTGTGAGTCAGCAGCACTCTCAGCGGCCTTGTCTTTCTGAACAGCTTTGGTGGTTTTCTCCTTCCGGACTGCCTGGGTTACATTTCCAGCAGACCTTCAGAGTATTGTGACCTCTTAGGGGGCAAGGGATGGGGTCTGCTCAACCATGGACTCTGCCCGTCAGGAAGGCAATGATAAAAGGCTTCAGTTTAACCCTTACCCATCCATCCCTAGGCAGGGTGTCTGACTCACGTCCCAGGCTGAGAGCCTCTCTCAAGGAGACCAAGAGGTTCTAAGGCTGCGCCCTCCCCTCTTCCTCCCACTTCCCACACCTGTTCTCCCTACCGCATCACCCTCCAGCCACCTTCTCAGGCTTGGGCTCCTGTCACGAGGAAGCAAGGATTCAAGAGAAAGGAGAAGCACACTGTGCAGGAGGACACTAAGACAATCAGAACTTCTGGAGTCATCTTGTCTGCTTCACTTCACAGATGGGAAATGAAGGGCCGGTGTCACCAAAGCCATACAAGCAGCAGGCAGCTGAGGTGAAGACTGGAACCGGGCTTTTTGATTCCCAGACAGGACCAGCCCCGACCTGATTCATTACATTATCTCCCTATTATCTCAGTGGAATCACGCATAGATGATATTTTAAGAATTGTGGCTTTGCAATGTCTTGATTATCCAAAGAAATAGCCAAAGGACATGAGAGCTTGGATATCATCTCTCGGTGAAGCCATCCCTGAGTCCCCCAACTTGTTCTCTGAACTTACCTCTGTACCCCACAGGATGCTTCAAAAAGGCAATATCTGAACCTGATCCATCTGGGCCTGATGTCTCTCCATATGTAAGAAGACTCACCAGCTCCCTTAATAAACCAAGTCTACTCCTTCAAGAGGAGAATCCTGATTAAGACTCAGGACCCCTCCCCCACTCAGGAATCACATGCTGAAAACACAGCCACCACCAGACAGCGGCTCCTTATTCTCAACTGATCTGGCCCAGACTCTACACCTTTCAAACTCCTGCAGCAGAGCAAAGAACTAGGCCCAGACTTTTAAACCAGACTCCAAAGGCGCTCAGGTCAGTGAGGGAAGAGTAACATGAGACCAGAGAAGAGGCTCATGAAGCCCAGGTCCCCTGCTTTCAGCAGAGGGGGCAGGGCTGGTAGGGGTCAGGAAGGTGTTTCCTACTTCCCGCCTCCAAGAACCTTCACTCTCCCTTCAAACTTTCTGCCCTTGGCTTATTCTGACGCATTTCCCTGGTTAGTTAACCAGTTGACTTACCTAGAACTGTGAATCTACTGCTGTAGCTGATCTTCTAGCCCATTCCTAGTTCTGCCTCTGTCTCAAAGCCCATCCCCCCTCCCCACCCCAGGGTGTGACAAAAACCAGGCATGTAGCAGGCGCTAAGTAAATACTGGATCCAGATTAAATGTGGTAAGATCACATGGGCAGAGGAAACTGGGTCATTTAAACAAACAGGCAAAGGAAAAAGGAACGATGGCACACTCCTAAGACCAAGGCGGCCACTTAGAGGATGCAGCCTCCCACAGCACGGCCTGAGGTTGAGAACCATCGGTCAGGCTGACCGGGCTTCCCTGCTGCAGCCCAGGGTGTAAACGCTGGAGGGTGGGGTGGGGAGGCATGAGGAACAAGAAACAACCTAAAGAAGAGACGAAGACAAGCACTCGGGTTTTTTCAATTATTTACCAGATAAAAAAGAAAAAATAGTGATTGTTTCTCTTCACCCCCAACACTTCAGTTTACCAGGGTCAACTGGGAGAGAAATTTGTTGAAAAGTGATTCGTGCTCCTGGTCTGGAGCAAATTCTTCCCCTCTGCTCCTCGCCACCTCAAGCAAGGGGGCCGGGAAAGGGCTCCAGGCAGCACTTGCACTGTGGCAGCAGAGTGGCAGTGTGGCTGTCATCTCCTCCTCTCCCTGTTGCCACAGCATTCAGACCCTCTCCTACCTGTCCCCCTAGGCCATTCTTCCCCACTCATCAAAGAAAGTGGGAAGATGGGGCTCGAAGATGTGGGGACAGGTGGCGAGCAGGACCGGGAAGCGCGCAGCAGACCCAGCAGCAGGTCACGGACTTCTGCTCCTATTGCACGGCCTGGCTAAGGTCCTGTGCCCTGAGCAGTGGGCACAAAGCAAATGCTTCTCAGATGCAAACACAGAACCTGCTGTGTGCCAGGCTCCAGAAGGGGAGGTGTGTTGTTGTGTGGCTTGTTCTGATATACATATTAATGTTTAAATTATTCCATGACGGGGCAAGGCAAAGATTACGCCTCTTTAAAAAAGCATACGGGGTTTGGACACTTGGGGCCCTGCAGTCACCTGGGCTTCTCCCCCTCAAGTTCAAAAGTCCACCAATAACCCTTTCTCCAGTCAGGAGATCTGCATAAGATGGAAGAGGCAGCAACATCCACCAACCACATGAGTCCCCTCTCCAAATGTCATGACTCTGAGCCACTCAGGGGTGACCCCTCTTTCTGAACACCTGGTGAATTTGACAAGTGACCCTAGAGAAAAATCTTTTACACTGTACGTTTCTCCACAAAGTGGCAGCTGTCTGATTCTCATTCTTCTCATTACCAATGAAAGTAGAGTGGGACTGGAAGGAGTTGTTTAACTGACCTCACAGACGCAATACATCCCTCTAAGAAACAGTGGGGGTGGGGGAAGAGGACTGATTTTGATTTAGCAAAGCTGCAACTCTTTCGCCTTCATTGGCTGGAACAAAGCTGGTGGGTGAAGACAAACCTAACTGAGCCAATGGCAAGAACTGCAGGCTATGAGACGACGGGTCAAACACAGAACGGTATAAATCGTGGCACTATAAAGATGAGAAGGCAGGTCCATGATACCAGCTGGGAGCAAGCCTCTGAAGCACACTTCCAGAAACTGTATCTGTCCTGTAGTAAGTGGTAGCATCCAGATAAATCAGAGTGGTTCTCCTTCCTCCTCTTCCCAAGAAATTCTGAGTTTTTCATTTAAATAACTATGTACATACATATAAGCCTGGTCTCTCTTTTATATGAGGGTCCTTCACTTGAGGGTCCTACAATGGCTTTAGAGAGTCGGTTCCAATTGCCTTTTTGGAGATTTACTGCTTGGGACCAAATCTGCAAAAAGAAAAAAAATGTACACTATACCAGACAAATCTTTAAGCTAGAATCATCCCAGTGTTTAAGCAATCGGGGCTTAATATAAATAAATAATGAGCCTGCAGCAACCTTACCAGGCTCTGGGACCCTGGAAAATTGAGTAATTGGGCTGGGACTCATCAACCCTGTGTGGCTACTGTCAGCCAGAGGGCCCCATGCCCACCAGCAACCCTGGGAATACAGCTCCGTACCTCCCTCCGATAAGGACAGTTTCTCAAGTTCAGCTTCAAGTTCAGCATCCGAGATCCTAGGGTCAGGCACACAGTTGGTATAAAACGTCTCATGGGGGTTGTCGGGCAGATCCAAAGGTTCTTTGGTGGTATCCTGAAGAAGGATATCCAATTCCTTCTCCAGTTCCTCACTGTCAAAATCTAGAAATAAAAGACAACATAAGGACACATAAAGTCCAGGGAGGAAATGCATTTTTGAGTCAAGGATTGAGAATAGCAAAACTCAGCTCAGCTTTACAAGACGTCAAGGCCTCCTTGCAGGTTAAAAGAATCATGTGAGCTGAGAGGCAGAGGGCACCTTCAAGCACACGGCCTTTTTCCATACAGAGCTAAGCTGTAAGGAGGTATATTCTGCTAACACCACGAAACTGACCCTGCTTCCTCTTGCCCTTGAGGAAGCATCTTCCAATCAGAAGCTTAGTCAGTAAGGAACGCTGGAGCACAGAGGGGTCATTAGTATAGACTCTCGGTGAGGAAATGACAACAACTTCCAACCACTCCTGTGGATAAGCCCGAGAGTGGAGGGTAGGAAAGCCCCGCTTGCACAGGGAAAGCCAGATCCATGATCACACCTACCACAGCACAAGGAAGCGAAGTCACCTTGACAACTCACCTAAGCCATTGGTTACCCCACCAGCCAGAGTCTGAGAAACTTCATCCTGGGTGTCACACAGCTGTAAGGGAAAGCACAGGTTTCGAACTCTGAGTGGTGTCTCTGAGGACCTCAGCCCTTGGGTTTTAATGTTCAGGGTTACAAAGTAACGCTGCCCCATCCAAGAATCAAGGAAAGCTTCCTCCAGTTCACAAGATAAAGATTCCAGTTTGGGATAAGAGGAAACACAACAAAGTCCCATTTGTCCTTCTGGAGTGTCCATCCCTCCTTAACCCCTCCCGTACCTCTTGGATCTGATCTACGAGGCTCTCTGCCTTCTCCACTGTGACATCCTTCATGGAGAGTTTTAGGGCTCCTACGCCAGCCTGATAGGCATTGAACACCTAAAGAGAAAGCAGTTGTCGGTGCAAATGAAGAACACTGGGCAAAATATATATATAAAATGTTGTTTCATCTCCAAGATAGCTTTAGGGTTTTATTTTTGCCACCTGCGCTTGATTCACCCCACGTCCACTGAGGCCAAAGCGTCCCAACGGAAGAGGCAAAGGCAATCCCAGCTACATCCTGAGAGAACCCGGGCCTCTTCCAAATAGCAGAGCCACAGTGGAGGGGACAAGCGGTGGATGCCAGGGAAACTGGTCAAGTACTGGAACAGAGGGGCAGGGGCTACCATCTGATCTGTCTGGGAGGCATAGATCCGGTCCAGGATGCCTTGCACAGTGTCCAGTTTGGCATGCAGGGCCTCGATGCGCTTCTCTGTCCGCTGTTTGGCCTTGAGAGACCTTAGTGCCTAGGGGAGCATAGAGACTTGGTCAGTGTCGGACTGGGCAGGCCAAAGGGCCTAAGGAAGACAGCCCTTCCCAGATGCTAAGACCGTCCCAGGCCTCCTTCCCGCTCTTTTATAAAACAAGTTGTGGTGCCTGGGCCGTCCACAGACTGCTCCCCTTGAGCCCCAAGTTCTTCTCTGAACCGCCGGAGTACCTCTCACTGCCAGGCCAGGGCACAGGCACGTGGCTGGAGGGGAAGAGGAAACTCACCAGCTGCTTCTTTCCTGCTCGGCATGCCCGGCGGGCTTCTTCTTTACACCTGTGAAACAAAGGGATGGATCGAGATGATGAGGCCATAGGATGGGGTGGCAGGGTCCTGAAGAGTCCCCAAGAGCAGCCCTTGGGCAAACACTTTCAGGTCTGAAAATCAAACCCATTCCACCCAAATGCAAGAAAAATGATGCCCAACAGCCCACTGCCAAGCTCTTGCAGCAAGCTGAGATATAAGCTTGAGCGCCTGCACGTGGGGAAGACACGCTGACTAAGTCTTACCCACAGGGAGAGGGGGCATGCCGATACGGCACTTTAAAAATAGATTCCCAATTCGGGAGCCAAGAGATCCAGAATTGATTCTTAACACCAGCAATGACCTTGGCCACATCCCTTGGGTTTCTCCCACTGTCAGATGGGTGTGAACAAGAACATTTTAACTCAGTGTCAATATATGCTAATTTTCAGAGAAGTGTTCATGTGCCTTTAGCAGGGACGCCTTGTATGGTCATCCAAGGGGAAGAGGAGGAGCCCCTCAGAGACCTCTGGAAGGCAGAGGCTTGTCTTGTATCCCCAAGTGCCCCAAACAAGGCCTGGCTCAATAAATACTGGTTCAATGGAGACTGGCATGGAAGAGCATAAACATAATAGTAACGTGTTTTGTTAACAGTCATAATCTTTGGCGGGGGAAGAACTAAAATTCACTCTTTCTCCTTTGCGACAGTCTGTGCTCTCCATGATTACTGTATTGCAGTTAGTTTTGTAATTAGTAAAAGAATAATAATAATGACCTTTTTGTAATGAGCCTACAGACACCAACGCATTGCTGGCTCCGAGGGCCAGCCAGGGTGAGGGCTGGGGGCGCTCAGCTCAGGGGTAGTTACCTCTCTGCTTCCTGGGATAAGGACTCCACTTTGCGTGAGAGCAGCTGTTCACTCTGCATCAGCTGGTATACTCCAACATCTACGTCGTTGACAGGAGAGACCTTGGCATGTGGCCCCCGGGCAAACTTCACAATCTGAGGGACAGGGACAAATTACTGCTGCCCCTACCACAAGTGCTGAGAAATCCCCAGGCAGGAATGATGGTGGGCATGTCAGTACACACGTAATAACATAGGGAA